AAGAAATCCAAAACCTGATGTATGTATATACCATGGAATTGTTATATCACCATTTGTTGGTGCTGTTGATGAGAAAACAAATGGTAAATGAAAATTATGATATGGTAATGTTAGATTATGACCATAATGATGTTGACCTAATCCATATAAATTTCCATTTTGAATATGTGTATATGTTAATGATAATTTGTAAAGATTATAAATAGGTGAATAAATAGAGACTGGATAAATGTATGCTGAAAAACTAGTTGATTGTACTTGAATTAAAATAATTCCATCTGATTGACGTTGAATTGACCATGTTTGATTATCGTCATTGAGAACAAATTTAATATTACCATTAATAAATGTATTTCTATTTAATTGTTGACAATCTTCTTTGTTTACAACTGGTTTGTCTGGAAGTAATGCTTGATAATCTGGAGTTTGAATAATTACATCTGGACTAAGACGTATTCGAATACTATCAGAACCCCAGGATTCTATTTGTAATTGTTGTTGTACACCATTTGAATCTATAGTTTTAATAAATATACAGGATGATGCATCATTACATGAAAATAATTGAAGAATAACCAGAATAATTAATTTATAAAAATATTTATCAATGGTTGATATCAACATTGTGATTCAATTGTACTGAATAATAAGAAAAGAGAAAAAAAGTTATAGGTCACTCGCTGTTCACCTATCATATCTACCAAGGTTATTTTTTCATTCCTGTGCACTCGTGCAGGTCAAAGTATATGTTAATGAACGAAAAAAAACTGGTCATTTTTGTTCATAGTCAAGAACAACTATTGTGAGATAAAAAGATCACATTTTATCATTTCTTTTCGTTCTCAATACTTTACTTTGTACGGATGATGCAGAAAATGTATGCTTTTTTACTCTTTTAAAGTTTAGTTTTTGATCGAACTTACTGTCATCAACGAGTATTCACTTCGATTTTTTCTCTCGAATGACGTTTGACGACAAAATGTAACAAGATTTTGTTAGTCAAACGCAAAAAAATGACAAGAACATACACATATACCTGGATATCATTGCAAATATAGAAAACAAGTCCGAACAGCATATTATTATCATCTGACAGTTCTAGTATTCATAATATTAACAAAAGATTGAATAGAGCTTTAAGAGTGCACATGAACTCGGTTAGAGAAGATGTAATGCTACGTGGATATAATATGTCACAAAAAATATATATATTCGTTCCCTTTCTTTCTTTTTATTAGTTAAATACTACTGATATTTATTATTCAATTCAAAATAAAAAGTAAGTTGTCATTTATCGAATAAATTCTGATGGGAATGAAATAGAAAAGTGGTTTTCGCCATTCGCAAGAAGATACTCTGCATCTATTTTTCATTAAATTTATACTTATAAGATGTCTACAATCAAAAGGACAAATTCTTTTTTAGAACGCTATCTATAGGTCAACGGTTATGATAGGTGAATCGCTATCACTAATCAATAAAACTTTCCTTTCCTTTCTTCTCTAGTAAAGTGTGACTATCCCTAAGAATTATCATATTATTTGTGCAATATATTTAATGAAAAATGATATTCGAAGAATTACCAAATGAAATAGTGTATGAAATATTTGACTATTTGTCAGCTGTTGATCTATTGCTATGTTTTTTCAATTTGAATTCACATTTTAATAAATTACTTTATGAACAATTAAACAAAAGTCATTTCGATTTTCGACGAATATCAAAAGTAAACTTTGATTATATCTGTGAAAAATATATTTCATCTTTAGTTGATCAAATTACTTCAATTCATCTTTCAAATGATGATAATACTCCAAGTCAAATTAAATTATTTCTTGCTCATGATAATTTTAAACTTAGACAATTTACTAATTTAAAATCAATTTCATTATCATATGTTCAATCCAAACAACTACTTGATCAAATAATGATTGAATGTTCTTATCTTCCTTGTCTAACACACTTTTGTTTAGATAGTGACGGAATTGAAATGGATGAAAGTGATGCAGAATATTTCGTTTATTGTCTATCAGAATTATCAACATTAATCTATTGTTATCTGGATATATCTTGTGAATTTGAAGTTAATTTTAAAAAATTTTCTCCGGATGAATCTCATATTAGCACATTACTTAAACATTTAACTCTTGGCTCAATTGAGTGTTCTTTAGGCTTATTAAATCGTTTACTTCAATGTATGCCTAATCTTCAATCTCTCAAGATGGATTACAGGGATAATTATGAAGCTTATGAATTATTAATACCTAATCTTTCAATTACTCGATTAGAAATTAGACTCTATGACACCGTATCTAATCTCAATAACATGCTGAAAACCATGCATAACTTATATTATTTAACATGCACTCTATTTGATGATTATATAAATGGAAATCAATGGGAAGAAATGATTAGAAAATCTTTATCTAAGTTAAAAACTATTAATATTCAAATGAAATATGAACCACCGAATAACGAAAATAAAGAAGTACAATTAAATGAAATAGTTGAGTCATTTCGAACTGAATTTTGGATTAATGAATATCAACGATTTATTCGATGTGATTGGTATATTATAGATAAACAACATGAACCTAGTTATAGTTATGTTAATATTTTTACTTTACCTTATATTTTTCATTATTTTGATGGTTCTCATGAATGTGTTCTAACAAAATCAACCTATCCATATGATAATGAACATTTAACATGTAATCAGATCGATAGATTACATTATCGATCTTCATATTTTACGGATTCGATTTTGTCTCGTGTTCGTATTAATAATATTCGATCACTTACATTATCATTTCCAATAAATGAACAATTTTTGTCAGTTATTTCTAATCTTGATCAATTAAATTCGCTCGACGTTTACATAGATGAAAAAACAAATCTTGATAATATTCAATCACAATTACAATATATTCTTGATCGAACACATTTTCTTTATTCGCTCAGTTTTGGTCCATGGTCACCAGCCAATTCACATATACCATTCAAGGAAATTACATGTGCTTCAGTTCGGCAACTAGATATACGAGGAGGCCCTTCCTATAGCTCTTGGTATGTAAGTCCCAGTGTTTGTGAAAAACAATGTGTTCAACTGTTTCATTCGCCATTAGCTATTCAATGTGAAACACTTATTATCAAAGTTACAACTCGGCAAATAATACTTGACCTTGTTAATAATATGCCTGATCTCAAAGCATTGAATGTTATGTGTGACGATGATGCTGGATCTTATGTAGATGGTGCCGAGCTACTTAGAAAATGAACTTTTTAATTGGTTATATCGACAATTACCATCAACATCTATCATATCAAGGGATACAACTAAAAATCGTATTATTCGAATATGGATTCGATGAACTTTATCTGATTCAAAAAAAAAAGAAAATTAATTTTTTCTATTTTTTTATTTTAAATAAAAGAAAATATATATTATTATTAAAATCTACTTAAGAATTCCGTATTATTTTATTTCATAAAAATAAAACTATTCTACAATGTTATATTTGCAGTTGTCTGACTCTTGGAATTTGGTTCATAGTTAATAGTCTAACTACACGATTTTTCCATTTGATAAAAAGTGTCTTACAATCTTTTCGAAATGCTTTTGATGCAGCAAAGTATGTATAAAAAGGAGAACTATTATTAAGATAAAGAAGTGTTAATGTAGTAGAATTAAGGAAATTTTCAATTTCAACACGTTCAGCAGATTTAACAACACCCATATAATTTGTTACTGCAATTTCTAGAACAACAAACGGATATGGAATTGTTGTCAAAACATAAACAACCACTTCAGTTAATACCATTAATAATAGATCTCGATCATGACGATTAACTCTACCATTATCATCACCATTATTACCAATTGGTCGTACACGTAAATGTAGTTTTCTCATATTATGATAAGCTGAAAAACCAAATATACTCATTAATATTGGTGGAAGTAAACCAAGAAAAATTGAATTATATACTTGATAAACAACATAATAAACTCCAAATTCACTACATCTTCCATTATTAATTGTTGCTAAAACAGCTATATGAATAGGAAAAATATGCCAAATTAAGAACACCATTGCTGCAAGATAACGAGAAGTTGATGATCGATTCATAAATCTTGTATGAGCATCATCTCTTGTCCACATATATCTGTCAATACATGCAAGTACAGTAAAATATCGGCCTGATTGATTCCATATATTTAAAACATATAAACGAAGTTTACAAAAGAAAAGAGACCGAGCTGTTGGATCACCATAATCAAGTGCATAAACATTAATTACACCACTACATGTAAGTGATGCACTATTTATAATTGCAGCACATAATAAATACATGGCACATGAATTTTTACGACGCTGATAAAATAAAATGATAATAAGAAAATTTCCAATATTTCCTAAAATCATCAAAGCAGACATTCCATAACGAGTAATTTGGGTTTGTATAAATGGAAATATGGTAACTGACATTATTTCTTAAACAATATCCTTCTTCTATTTTGTAATTATGAACTAGAATGAAGATTTATAATATTATTAAATTTCTCATCTTTTATATGAAAGTCGAGCAAAATTTAATTATGTCTATCGTTTGTTCATGACATACGTTATTAAATGATATAGATAGATTTTATTAAATAATTACACTACTGTCTAATTCACAATAAAATATAGGTGAATATTTGACTTTTTGATAAGAAGCTAGATCTTACGCACTAGAAGCCGTGTGAGTCTTGGTTTTTAACTTATTCTAGTAGTTTTTAATAGTTTTTATGCGATTTATTTAGCTTTTGATAGAAAGAATGATATATTTAAAATCAGGACACAAAATTGAGTTGATCTATATAATTTTTAATGTTCTTACAGTATTTTCATTTTTCTCTTAGATTTCCCCAGGAGTGCTCCTCGGGAATTGATTCAAATATTAAACTATTTAAAAACGTGTTTTTCCCGAGGGGTGCCTTAGGTGAAAATTAAGAGAAAAATGAAAATACTGTAAGAACATTAAAAATTATGTAGATCAACTCATTTTTGTATCCTTATTTCAAATATATCATTCTATATTCTATCAAAAGCTAAATAAATCGCATAAAAACTAAGGCTCACACGGCCCTTAGTGCGTAAGATCTAGCTACTCACCAAAAGGTCAGAAAAGGGTCGAGTTGGTTTCATTCGATAGAGAAAAGATTGGGCTATCTACTAGCATCTTCAGAGTTAAAAGTATAATGGAATATCTTAGAGTCTTTACGATCTCCACCTAACTTTTTGAAAAAATTTGGTTCTTATATATTTCAATAGCCCCAACATTTCTCTTTCGAACAGTGAAAACCGCATCTCTCTATCTTGTTCTGTTCGATAGTTAGTCAAGAAACAATAGAGTCTGCTATATTTTAAAACCGATATTAATTACACTATCATCATAAGTCTCTAACACATCGCAAATATAAACTTGATGAATAAGAAGAAAAAATAAAACAATATTAAACGGCATTTAGCTAAAAGATATCATCTTAAATTAGAAAATTTTGAATACCATCGGCGACGCAGCGACTGCAATTAAAATGTATCAGCCGCACGGCTTACATCTCTAGTTATACAATCTATACAATACGTTTTGTTTGAGTATACATATGTATTTTATTCTTCTTTTTTTTACTATGTACCAATGAAAGAAGAAAACTTTGTAGTACGATCGTTATAGTCCAAAATTCTTGACAAAATGCATTTTTATTTACGAGATACAAGTTAAAGCATTAACTTTTATTGAATTCAAAAATATGTAATGATTTTTTTATTTGAAATTCAATCGAACTTAAAATTCTAATGTTCATTCAATACTTTTATACGTGTGCCTAATTTCACCTTACACTCAAAAATACTCATAGATAAATACAAACACAAACTGTCTCATGTGATACATTCTTTTCCTATATCAAAGAATAGCACATGTTGATTCATAGTCATAAGATTAAAACAACATGCTGTACGCAATTAAAAAGTGTGAGTCAATCAGGCGTTTAGAGAAAGTAAAAACGCAAAAAGATACAGTGAATAATGAGAAGAGAAATACATTGTATTTCTTATTCATTCAACAAACATAATAAATATCATGGCTAGTAATCTTATGCAGTTCTTCTTCATGAGTGCACGAAGTAAATAACAAAATAAATTATTTATTTTATCTTAAATAATTATTTCTTATTATTTTAGTTGGAGAAGTTAATGGTATACGTACATTTGCTACTCAGAGTCCAAAAACTAGTAGACACAATAATCCATCTGGTGGTTATGGAGATAGTAGTTCATTATCACAAAAATCAGGTGGCTATGAAAATAGTTTTGGCAGTAAGAATAGCTCATCCTTCGGTAAACAAGAATAGTCAGATGTAATTACTTGTATTACTTTGATATTTTTTTTATATGTATAAATTTGTATTTAATGAAACGATGTACTTTGTTTTAATAAAAATAAAAGAAAAAAGCCTGAAAGTATAACATTTTGTTTCATATAAGTATCAAGGATGGGTATGAGTATTAGATATGTGTGTAGCAGTGTCTACGAGTAAACTATTGCTTTTTGAAGAATCAGTTATCTTTATACTCAGTGACCGAGAACCAAAAAAATAAAAATAGAATTAGTTTTTCAATAAAATCTGTCATCGCAACGATATACATTGAATGCAACAAGGCAGTTTATCTTATTAATAATTTGACTTTATCAAGATTCTCTTCTTCGAAAACAAACGTTTTATCTGATAAATCTACTTTATTTATCATCCATATAATGTGGATGAACGTGATAAGTAAGCCTTAATGATTTCATATTGAACTGATACAAATATTTATGAACAAATATAAAGAATATTATTTGTCAATAACGAGTCTCCTTTTAAACGTTGATGAAAAGAATGATCACAATTTTTTTTATAATTTTTCAAACATTTACGAACAGTCCATAGATAACATGACGGTATAAACATAGAGAAGAACAGAAAATACAGTAATCGGGAGGGACAGTGTGAACGTGTCACAACACCGTTCTCGGCAAGAATAATTATAATCAAAAATATCAATGTAAAATACAGCATATTAGAGACATAGTGCACATATATTTACATACACTGAAAATAATACAATGTATGTTTGTTTTACGTACACTTTATTATTACATATTTTCGTTTACATAAAAAAATTTTGGCATTATAACAGATAATACACAATATATATGACATCGAGAACAAATACTTCCTGTCATGTACAATATTTGTTATTCTCGTAGACTCTTTCTTTATATAGAATAGCGTTGGAAATAATTACTGAAAAATATTTAAATAGAGTCAAAACGTTTTTCTCTATATATCGCTAAAGTAACTAAGTCTTTTTGTTTAACAGGTAAATAATGATAACGAGGATATGTACGAATTCTAGATTCCAAATATAAACAGAATTTAAGTAATATAATTTTAATTTGTGGTGTTGTTGGACGATAGTTTGCCTCTTCGTTTATACAATGATCAATCAATTTTCGGAACAACGGACTTATTTTCGTTAATTTTATTGCTTTTGAAGTTGGATCATAATGGTGATCTACACCTGTGAATAAAAAGTTCAATGTAAGACCACATGTATATACATCTAGTTTTTGATCATATTTATTTAAATAAAATTCTGGCGGCATATAACGCATGCAACCCTGCGGTTCATCTTTATTTTGATAACATGCTTGTGCTATACCCATATCACCAATTTTAGCTCGATAGAATTGATCAATTAAAATATTATCCGGACGAATATCACGATGAATGATACCATGTCGATGAATACGATCCATACCAGATGCTATATCATGTGCAATGATGAGTCTTCGCCAATAAGTTAAATTATGTTGATCACGCCGTAAAAAATCAGTTAAACTACCGTTTAGCATATATTCCATAACAAGATAAATTCGTGAATTAAGTGGTGACAAAATTTCAAGAAAGAAACCATATATAGGTAGAATGAATGGACCAGCACATTCAAGACTATGCTTTATTTCTTTAAGAATCATGTCGGTTGTTGCTTTAAATTTTGGACCAATCGTTAAATTTAAACATTTACAAGCTACAATACTATTTTTCGACAACCATTTTGCTTTATAAACTGTACCTTGAAATAATATTAGATTAAAGTAAAGAATTTTATGTTTTTTCTTCTTCTTTTGAATGCTTACCGAAAGCGCCATGACCCACTTCATTTTCGAGTTGAATATCCTCTCGTGGAATTTGTAAGTTTGTCATATTTATTGCCTGAAAAACTTTCTTGGAATTTCCAATATTCAATGGATTAAGATTTTCATAGTATAACGTAATATATCCAATCAGGAGAAATGGACTGAGTTGGGTCTGTAGTACTTACAAGTAATTCTAAATTAAATAGTTGTTACATCTAACATATATATTCAACATACTTATGTATACTTCATTGATCATATAGTTACCTGTTTCAATAGATTTTTATGAATACAAATTGAAATTTGAGAAATTGTTTAGAAGATGTCCTTACCAATTGTTGCTCTATGCGTACATAAGATGTAAACATCAATTATCTCACATTTTTATGTATATATGAAAACATGTTTTTGATCACCCTCTTACAATTGCTTGAAGCCTTGCGTAATATTTATTACGTTCCGCATTGCTATGGTAAAATAGAAAATTTTCCAAACATCATATTTTGATGTATATATACATAACGCACATATATATGGAAAAAAGGTAAGAGTAAAGAGAAAAAAATATTGTATACGATACTTCTACACTTATGTATGTTAATTGTGTAATTTATGAATTGAATGTTTGAGTAAGTTAAAAACATTCGTCAAATGTAACAACATAAGAAAATAAAGAAATAAATGCGTCTATTTTATCCTTTGTATTTATATAGATTGGCGATTAAAATGACTCGTTGGAGATTTTCAAATCATAATACCAGTTTCATCATTATATTTCTCTTTAAAATATTCTTTTAACATTTATTTAGTAGAAAGAGTTTTCTATTTTACATAATAAAATAATTTTTTGTTATTTAGTTGTGTAACTGTTTTTCTTTTTGAATAGTTTACGATAAAGAAACATTAAATTCATATGCACCAAACGAACTATGTTTAAATTTTGAGAAACAGGAACAGGGGTATTGAAGTGGAAGGAAAACAAATTTAGAGTCACGTGTTCACTCTTCGTCATAAACATCATAGACCTGTGATGGCATATAGTAACACCATCCATTACAGACTCCACAGCGATACTTCTTTTCTCTTCAGCATTTATTACAGATCTCGATTATTATTACTAAGTAGTATAAACTAGACTACAAATATATTCAACATGGTTCCGAATACATTTAATAAATATTTTCTTCTATCAGTAACTATAGTTATTTCGTATTTCATGTATTTTTGAGAAAAGTGATTGAAAAATATCTTAAACCTAATTCAACAATATGATAAAATTCATTTGCTTTTAATCACTTAATTTCGAATGAACCAGTATTTGAAAGTATACGGATGCTGTTATATCAAATATATATATATCTTCTAATACATCTCACAATTTACTGCTCATTCTACTAAAACAATAATATTATGTTAATGGCAAGTTAAAACTAAATCTGAAGTCATAATCAACTCCATAAAAACTCGACAATGAAAATAATTCACAATCGAAAAAATCAGCAGTCAGAAATTCCACTGTTAATCTCAAATATCTGACATATTTCTAGATCAAAACTATTTATGACAATTATTTAACTTCTATACATATTTATTTAATATTATGTCATGAAATAATTCTTTATAATTCTATAATCAACAATAGAAAATCAAAGGTTAGTTATTACTAATATTTTCATTAACTATTACTTTTATTATATGAAATATTTTAACATACGAAACTCACTATGAGTCACTTTCATCAATGAATAATATTATG